ATGTGGCACGCTGTAGTGGCATACAGATACCGCCAAGGCAAAAGACTTGCAGATGAGGGACAAAACAAGTACTTTTCTTCTTTCTTAATGGAGAACTGGGGTCCAGAGAAGACAGATAACTCGACCAAGGTCACTGCAGAGGTCTGCAGCAGAGCTGGGATGCGAGCTGCAGGTTCTCATGCTGTTTTAACTCTTAGCTGACCCATCTTCAGGAATTTGGCTGTGAACCATACAGGCTGCTACTTTAAAGAAACTCAGCTGATGAAATGTGCATTTTTATATTGGGAAAGCAGTTGGGTTTTTTTTCTCTCCTTCTTTGCTGCATTTTAAGGTGTGCTGGATGTAGCAGCCCTGGGTTTTTCAGTCCAGTTGCCTGTGGACCACTCACAGAAATGAAAACTATGCCAGAATGTCTTGAGCATCTCAGGGTGGTAAACAGTTGTAACAGAGACTACTGTGCTCAAAGCAAAGGCTTGAAGCAGCTTTCTCATAAATCCTGCTTTAACACATTGTGTACTAATTTCTCACTAGTGTGTGCCCTTCTGCTGACTACCTAGAAAATAAAATATAGAAGTGTGACAGAAGGACTAAGCTACAGATTTATGAAACTGCTGCATTTTTAAACCTCAATAGAGAGTTATGTTTTCTTCTATTGTCTTAGAAAACATGTTTTTCCCTAATTGGCCAAAGTGGGATTAGTAGCTGTGAAAGCCGTGCACTTTACAAGGCCTTCTGGGAGCTTACAAAATGCAGATATTTTCATACACATCATTGATGGAGTCCCAGCTCAGGCAGCTTCTCTGTGGTACAAACTAACAAGGAGCTGGAGAAATATGAACACAAAGAGCTTCCACCATTTTTCGTAGTTTTTGGACAATGGAGCCCGTCCCTCCTGTGCCACTGTAAGGGGCCCTGGACCCCTCACATGAGCCCTTGCCATGGTCCTCCCCCACCCCTTATGGCTGCTTCTTGGGCTGGAGAAGATGTCAGTTACAGGATCAAAGGACAACTCAGGTCGGAATGGACCCCAGGAAGTCACTGGTCCAACCCCCTGCCCAAAGCAGGGTCAGCTCTGAGGTCAGACCAGGTTGCTCAGGGTTTTGTCCAGTTGGCTCTGGAAAACCTCCAGTGACAGAGCCTGCACAGTCTTTCCAAGCAACCTCTGTCATTGCCACACTGTCCTAGCGGGATATTACATTCAGTCTGAGGTTTTAATTTCAATTTTTGCCTGTTGTCTCTTGTTTTCCTGCCATGCACTGCTGTGAACAGCCTGGTTCCATCTTCTCGGTGATCTCTCCATGGATCTTGTGGGGCTGCTATTAGGTTACCATCCCCAAGCAGCCTTTCCCCTAGGCTGAACAAGCCCCATTCCCTCAGCCTCTCCTTGCATGGCAAGTGCTTCAGGACCCAGGCATCTTGATGGTCCTCTGCTGAACTCACGCATTTGTCCATGTCTGTCTGGTATTGCAGAGATCAAATCTGGATGCCAGGTTAGATCTCTGTGGTACTCCACTTTCTGCTGGCCTCCATACAATCCACTAAGTGCCACCCACTAAGCCTGATTATCCAAACAGTTTCTCACTCATCGCAGCTGTAATGTTCTAACTTGAATGCAAGAATATTGTGGGAGACAGTGTAGAAAGCCTTGCTAAAGTCAAGGCAAATTATGTCCGCTGCTCTCCTTTTGCCCGCAAATCCAGTTGCCTTAAGATAGAAGGCAATCAGATTGGTCAGGTGTGGCTGGGTCTTGGTGAACCCATACAGACTGTCTTCGGTCACCTTCACCTCCTTCTTTGCTGCTGGGAGGGTGATCATGAAATGCAGATGTCTTCTCCTGCCCTGAAGTATCACCAGGTACTCTCTCACATCTCATGGGCATCACAGATCTCTCTATGCCCTGAAAGACCCCCAGGCCTGCCTGTCTCATCCGTCTCACATGTGAGTATCTCCTGGGGGTGGGGAGCTCATTGCAGGGCATGAGCTTACAGAGACATGGTTGCACAAGGTGCAGCAGCTCATGCAGTTTTAGAAAGCAGCCTGCACTCAGCGAGGAGCACAGAAGCTGACCAGCACCTTCTAAAACTGTGAGATGTAAAACCTGTGACCACGCATATTTGAATGCACAATCTGCTTTTTCCTAGTCTCACTGTGACCTACATTTCATCATGAGCTGCTTTTGGTCAGGAGGGGGTGACTCTGATGGGTTTCTTGTGTCAACTGGAATATCAGGAGCTCTGAAAAGGCTTGCTTAGAAACCTGCCTGCCTGGGAGAAGTCCTGCTCCCTCTGCTTGCTCCATGGCAATAGGCATAATTACTCTCATTTTGGAGCCCAAAGCAGAGGCATGTGGAATAAATTGATCTAGATCAAGAAAAGAGTGTTAGGCAGGGTCAGGAACGGAACTGACAGCATCTGGCTCCTTCTCATAGTCTAGTACACAACTCATGGGTGTCCTTCCATGGGAAGATTTCACCTACACGTGTCTTATTTCACACAGACTACTGAAAGAGTCTGACATCAGTCAAAAAATCCCTGGTGTCTGCTTACAAATTTTGGAGTCATTTATATCCATAGTAATAAAAGCTGTATGCTGTTTATTTAGCAGGGCTCTTTTAATGTGCTGTTTGTTGTTTTGGTAGTCTGTGTATTTTTCATATTGTAATCATATTAAAAGAGCATTCTTTTCCTGGAATAAAGAGGTAATGGTTCACAAGAGGCATAATTATTCCACGCGGTGCAGGCAGGATGCTGCAGAAAGAGCTGTCTTCTTTATGTGTAAGGGGCTTTTATTGCAAGTGTTCTACACAGTAATTAAATTCCTTTGAATGCGGAGGCTTGATTGGATTTTCTTTGGGTTTTTGGGAGGAGTCTGAAAAGCAAGGTATTTAGCTCAATTGCTATACAATTTTGGCATCAGTTGGAGGTTAGGGAGAAAGGTTCAGAGTGTCTCAGTCCCATTTCTTTTATGCTAGTGTTACGTTAGCTGAACTCTGTTGAATTCAATTGAATTACACCCTATCTGTACTTGTGTGAGAAGCAATCTCAGAAATCCCTGGCAGAAAGCAGCAGGATACCCGAACGCATGCCGTAAGAATCCAAATTATCTAAGGAAAAAAGCCTTGCCTAAGGAAAGTTACTTGCAGTTGCAAAGGCGAGTGCCCAAAAGTAAGGAAACTTCACATTTACAGCTGCCCTTCAGATCCGATGTTTGCTTTATGGTGAGTCTGGCCTTGGCCCAGAATTGGACAAAGTTTTAAAAGACAGCAGCAAGAAAAGGAAAAGGTAGGCAATCATGTAACAAAAATCTGTGCTGTGGCTTGACACATGAGCCAGGATGTTGGCATGGCATAACTCTTGAGCATTTGAGTTGTCAAACTAAATCATGTTTGTTTAATATCAACATACATAGCTGCCAAGTTTTCATAGATTTCATAGATTTTCTAGGTTGGAAAAGACCTTAGAGATCATCCAGTCCAACCGTCCCTAATCCCCCATTAAACCATATCCCTAAGTAGTTCATCCACCCTTTTCTTAAACACATCGAGGGATGGGGACTCAACCACCTCCCTGGGCAGCCTATTCCAGTGGCTGACAACCCTTTCAGAGAAGAAATTCTAACATCCCACCTGAATCTCCCCTGACTAAGCTTATACCCATTTCCTCTTGTTCTATCACACATCACTAATGTAAAGAGCCCTTCCCCCACCTCCCCACCATCCCTTCTCAAGTATTTGTAGACTGTAATCAGGTCTCCCCTCAGCCTCCTCTTCTCCAGGCTAAACAGCCCCAACTCCCTCAGCCGCTCCCCATAAGTTTTATTTTCCAGCCCCTTGACCAGTTTAGTCGCCCTTCTCTGGACCCGCTCCAGGAGCTCAATATCTCTCTTAAAGCGAGGGGCCCAAAACTGGACACAATATTCCAGGTGCAGCCTCACCAGTGCTGAGTACAGGGGCAGGATTTTGGTTTGTTGTTGTTTTTTTTTTCAAAGGAAGCGAGTAAAAATGTACATTAAAAGGAAAACTCTATTATATACAGCCTCAACATCTATTAGTGATGGGATTTGGGTATTGTAGCATAAATTACATAAATTCTTCCTGTTACTCAATAAGGCTACACAATACATCAGGAGGAGAGTGTTGCTCAGGCAGGGAAGGAAGATGTGCAACACCACGGGGTAACAACACCACTCTGCTCAGATGTCTCTGGAGGGAGAGTATGCATGATGAGGAAAGTGGCATTTTCAACAGCTCAATGAAACGTTGTCGGGCAATGGGAGGCACTTTCTTAATCTAGGGGCTCCCTGCCTGCCAGATGTTTCACCCAGTGACAGTGGGAGTCTATGAAGCCCAGGTTGCCAGTATTTGTAGGGGTTACGTGAAGGTTTGGGTCTCAGAGAGGTTTCCAGGGGCTCTGTTTGTATCCCAGTGGTGGTGGTGATGGTGGTGGCGGTGGAGGAGAGGATCCTGGGGCTGGGTGAGGGGAGGGCTGGTTTTGTAGGGAGAATGGCAGTGGGAGTGAGGAGGAGGAGGAGGAAGAGCTTTGACTATGTTTTGTGAAGGCAAAAAAGGCAAGTAGGAAGAAGCTTGGATATCGAGGCCTGTTGGGAGGAGGTTGGACTGGCCAGAGGATGACAATAACACAGACATGGAGGTCTCAGTCCAGACAGTGAAGCAAGATGGACCTAGACCTAGGTCTGAAGGGAACTGGCAAAAAAAGTCAGTGTACTGCAAAACCTGGGACTAGACCTGCCTCATGCCTATGTGTTAGTTTCCCTGTTGTGACTCTACTGACTTCTGAGTGGTCGTGCTTCCCTTCATTATTTATTAATTCTCAGCAAGGATCCCTCCTGGAGTCACCTGTCTGTACAGAAAGTTGGAAATGGAGTTAAAACTTTTTGCCAAAAGAGGGGAATTTTGGAAAAAAAAAATATAAATTTTTCAAAGGCTGAATTAAAATTGGTTCTGTTTTACTGATGTTTCTTTTGCATCTTGGCTTCCTGAGCAGAAACGGTCGTACCTGAGGACTACCTGGTTGATCCTGCGAACATGAAGCGGTACACCGTGGATCCTGCCGATTCTGCCTTCAGTTGCACGGGCTCCATGTACACCATGCGGCAGAGTCCTGCAGATGAACGTCCTGTTGGAGGCTCCTCTTCCTCCTGTGGTCATCACCCTGCCCAGATGTCTTCAGGAGAGTCCTCGTCTACTGGCCTGCGGCATCAGACCTCCAGCCCAATGAGGAATGGGACCTATCTTGAAGGAAACAGAAGTGGTAATATAACATCTTCCATTTAGCAATGTGTGTTGTTATGCTGGTGCCATACTGGAGTCTTAACTCCCAAATTCCCAGCAAAATTAGTGAGATGGGTCTGGGCTGACATCCATCCAGACCACTCACGCGTCCATTTAGAAGGAGAGATAATAACCTATGTGAACACAAAGTCAATCTGTTTATCACTAAGTAAAAAGGTGAATGTTTTCTAATGTTGTTATTAATTATGTAAATATATGTATTATGTATAATCGAGTGGCAATCACAAATGTTATTATCGACTTACAGATATAAATATTAATGTATAAGTCATTCCTCCCAAAGATTGATACTGCCTACAGGCATGTATCAGTTATTCGTGCTACACCAGCTGTGTACAAGATATGATGCAGAGTAAACACAAATATTAGTGCCTACCTCAAAGTATTTTAGCAAAAGATTTTGCTTCCTAGCTGCATGGCCCATCCTGCCCCTTTAATCATGAACCAAGCCAGATTTTGCTTGGGAAAGATTGCCTAGCAAAACGTATATTTTTAGAAATCATCCAGCTCACTGCTCAAGGGTCTTTTATCCTTCAGGAAGCAAAGTCACATGAGGTTTATCTGCAAATTCAAGGGATGCCATTGCAACCATTGCATTCAATAACCCTTCTTCTTTCCTATCTTTTTTTTTTTGTCCAGTTATCCTGCTAAGATTTACATTTGCTGGGTTGGTCGCCCTGCCCGTTAGCTATATTCCCTATTAGCCATGCACTTTTTTCTCGATAAATAACCTGGGTTCATCAAATGGGTTAGCTAATTCCCTGAACTTCCGTTAACTTTGTTTGCATTTTCCAAGTTCTCCATTAACAGGTCTTTATCAGTAGTGATTCCAAGAGTGACTTCACCCCTTACTAATTATTCAAACTTCATTTATGCATTTTTCATCTTGAAAAATTTTATCTAACAAAGGAGTTGAGTCTCAGCCATTTTTAAGTCATTAATTTCTTTCCCTTCCTCATTTATTAATGGAATCTACTGTCACACTAGTATTATTTTTTTTTTTAAATTTTGATGTATTTGCAGAAGTCTTGCCTGTTCCCCTAGTCCCTTTGTCTACCATTAGCTCATTACACTGTCTTTCTGCCCTTGAATTTCCCCTGGAAACTGCAAGTGATTCTGCATATTCTTCCTTGGTAGCCACTCCAGAGCCTCTTTTCAATAGCTGCAGATCTTTGCCTAATTCCTCCACATCCCTCACCTCCCAAATATCTGCATTATTTCTTGTTCCTGAACTTCCACTATTTAATATTTTAGAACACTATTTTTGCAAAATATTTACTACCAGTATTTATCCTTATATTTCTTTGTTTATCTAAGTTTGCCTTCCTAAATATTCAATACCTACCCGAAACTGTCACTCACTTTGCTATTATTTTCACATAATTGTTTCCCAGGTTTACTCCTGTATTACTCTATTATACAAACCAGAGATAAGCCTTCGGTTCTCATCATTATTTTTTTCTTTACTTATAGAGTCAAATTTACTCAAAGCAAAGTAGATAGTATAGAAACGTGCTACTGCAAACAACTTGTAAGAGGTTGTCACTAAGAAGCAGGGGTCTCAGTTACAAAGAAAAGGAAATGAAAAGCCCTTTCTTTCAGATCTTGTTCAGTGCCTCTCAGGCCAGCATAATCAGGTGCTGGGAGGACAAGAGGCTTACTGTGCACAGGATTCATTTTCCCCTTTCCCAGTGCTTCCCTAGAGCCTCCTAGCAGAACTGGGACCCTTCTGTCAAGCTTTTTAGTTGGCAGCTGTGAGGAGCCAAGATTTAACAATGTTGTTACTCGCTTGCTTTGAAAAGCTTTATCATTCTGCTTGAGATCAGTTGTTATCTCTTTGTAGTACATAGGAAGGGTCAGAACACTTCAGAGCAAAGGTCTGCCTAGCCACGTGTCCTGTCTCTAGCATGAGACAGCAGCGCACCCCCAGGAAAGAGATAAGTGCAGAGACGATGATGCTTCCCCACTACCCTCTCTGCCTTCAGAAGTTTGTGGCTCAAGAGTTTCCTGAACCAGAAGTGGTGGATTCACATTTAGCAATCCTTCATAGATTTTTCTTCTCTGAATCACTCAATGGCTTGCTGAATACCTTGCGCATTTTCAGCATCCACAAAATACCATGGTAGAGTTCCTGTGCTTAAAAATGTGTTGTGTGGAGAAAAGCCTTGGTATGAGGGATTTATATCGATGTTCAAGGGACTGAAGTGTAAAATCAGAGCTCCTTAAGCTTGTGCATCTGGATTACTTTCCTTTCTTATTCCTGACTGTGAATGCCACTGTTTCCCTGTCTCAGAAAAGTCATACAGTGGCCATGCAATAGGCTTTGCAGGGTCCTGTGTTTCTCTAGCTTGAAAGATATTGAAGCACTTTGAGGAGCAAAGAGAAAGAGATTGCTTTTGGACCAGGCACTTGTGGTATTTGGTTGTCTTTGAAGCAGTTATAGGTGACTTTAAGCTGCTACATATGACACTGTGGGGTAACAGGACTCATTCCAAAACTGCTTAGTATGTTTTACGTGACATGCATTTGACCCTTGCAAATACTAGCTCACCTGGGACCTCTGGATTGTTTGGCCAGCTCAATAAAAAAAAAAAAAATAGTAAAGGCTCCCTAGAACTGACTAGTGAACTGTATGAAAATGGCTATTAATTTGTTGATATTGATCATTTACAGTTATGAAAAATTTATTAGTCCCAGTATCATCCATTGTAGATTAGGGTCTGCCATAAAGGTACACGCAATCCCATACAGAGATAGGTTTGCTGTCAAGGTCTGCAACAGGAGGAATAGCAGTCCCCTGTGCTCTACTAATATTCACCACTGTAAGTCAGCACAAATGGCTCTTGCACATTTGTGCCACCACCGTCCATCACATTTACTCTGATGCACTCCTCTGCTTTCTGGAGCCTCCAGCAGAAAGCCTCCCACAGTCCACAGCAGGAGCTGAGTCCTCTGAGGCAGAAGAGAGATATTTGCTCTTAGACACAGCCAGGCAGTTTTCAGTGGCTGTGATGTGCAATTCAGTGACATCCATAAAGTCAAGGTGCTCACAGATTCGTTACGATATCACTTCTAGTATTAAAGAAACTGTGCTGTTGCCAGTCACAGCCTACTTACATCTCCTACTCTGTGACAGCGTCAGTTCTGTAGCACTGAATTCCAACCGCAGAGTCCTACAAAGCATTGCCTGCTCTTCCTTAAAATTACAGACTGTATTGCCTTTCGTCACAGCTATCATACTTTCACCCACCATGCTGCTTGAACTTTTACTGGCAATCCCAGACTTTTAAAATACACATCTGTCTGCAACTGCCTCCGTGCAGCCGCACTGGATTTTGATTACTGTCTTTGCAAAATCTCTCTTGCAAAGGTCTTTGGAATCTGTGCTCTCACTATGCTGCTTCTGCATGCTTTTTCCCTCTTTCTAGGGATAATTTATATGCTGCTGAATCATAAGTGAGCAAAGATGAGTAAGTTGTGCATGTCAGGCTCTATTCTTATCATCCTCAGTTTGCATACTTACAAGGCAGGGAAGGGCAGGACTCATTAAAAAGAGGAAGAATTTATCTCTGAAACCTCAAACCAATCCTCTTTATTTATGGATATTTTTGAAAAATAGCTTGCCTTATTTATCATGGTGGGCAAATATAATGGAAAAAACCATGACCATAAAACGTATCTCAGTGCATAACAGAACATGTCTTTCAAGCGGAATGGATGAGATTAAACCTCAAAGCTCTCATTAATGCGATCGGAAGCTTGATGCCTAATTCTCCATGATTATGCTAAAAAATTCCAAACAAAAAAAAAGTAAAAATCTCATTTCAGAAAGCCAGTTGGGGCTGCTAACAGATAAACATGCACTCTCTTGTCATCATTTGCCAAATTGAAGCTCTTAAATCAGAGAAGGAGTAGTCAAGGACATCATAAACCTTTCCAAGCCTGCTTACATAACAAACAAAGCCTTCATTCCAAGTATGAAGAATTGTGTGTTCAACCACAACATAATAACCTTAACCTTGCCCTGTAGCTTGTTATTTTTATGTAGATTTTATTATCCAATATTAGCAGTTAATTATTATCACCTGAGGGCCTTTGTTAAAGAGGCAATCCTGCTTGCTAATACATTTATATCCTGAAAGCATTTGGGGCGCAGGGTTTGAAGCTTCTCTTTTTCCAGAATAATGCTGCAAACGCCCTGCAGGAGCCGAATCCAGCACCTCCCCAAGGCAGCGTCCAAGGAGCTGCTGATGGCACTGCGGGGCTCAGCACTGAGGATCACTTCTTTGGCAAACACAGTCTGCCTGTTCATTTTTGAGGACATTTACAGCCTGAAAGGTTCAACGCTTTCACTGAGTTGCTGATTTTCCCCTCCACCCCTGCAAAAGAGAGGCAAATCGAGAAAAGTCCACGTAAATATTTAACGCCAGCCTATGGCTGCATCTCATGCAGCTGGATGTTGGGCTGCTCTTGCAGTGGGTGGAGGATCACCCACGACGTCACATCGCCATGTGGCGTGTGCCGTGCCGGCAGTGGGAGCAGCTGTCATGCTGGTGAAATGAGGACTCTGCCCTGCCATGCCGTGGGGCTGGGGCCACCAGCCAGGTGGTGCATGGCATCTCCTGCAAGTGCAAATCGACATGCTAAGCCCAATCTTGGTTCCAGAGCTCTTTGCTGATTGTGGCTCATCAGCCCCGCCCTGCATCCATAAATATCCTGTAATTGTGTTTTCCCACACACCTGCGTTTCTGATGCCTCTCCTCTTCTCCTGCGTGGTGTGCCCTAGACTTTTAGAAAAGTGTCTTCTACAAAGCCCTCCTCCTGTCCTTGTTTATAGAGGGAGTTTGGTTGTTTTTTAAAATGTTTCCCATTTCTCTGTGCCTTTGAGGGCCTGCTACTTCTGCTTAGTTTCAGTAGATCTGCTGCTCCTTATTATCTGCTCCAGTGCAATCAGAGAGAACCTTTTAAAATTTCATTCCCACCCCCTTCCCCTGAGGCAAAGAAATCATTTAGGCCTGCAGCAATATTAAAGTTCATCTGTCACTCCCTTTCCACTCTTATCTATCAATGACCATACTCCCTCTGGGCTCTGTTTGTTTGCCAAGAACATATTTAGGGAGTCTGTTATTTATCTTTCCTTCTTTTGTAGGTTTAACTCCATTTTAGCATCGGATTTCCTTGTCATGCCTCTGCAGCTGTTTGGCTGCTGGCTTTCTTGGTCTCCATCCTTCTTCTCAGGAAGGTCCCAAGGCCAGAGGTAGGGGCAGAGAAAAACCTGCGTGGGGTGAGAGCTCAGACAAAGCAAGGCCACATCTTTCCATTGGCTTCACCAGGCTTTGGCCATTGACCCGGTATCTCTAGCCATTTCTGTGCAGGCAATGGTCTCGACTGGGATGCCCCGAGAATATCCCCTGCAGAG